GAAATTTCGACGCAGTTTTCATCGTATTGCGGATATACCGGTGGCGGCAAATATACCGACTGGTGAAAAAGTTGTTCGGGCCCATTTCAAAAACTTCACTCTCGTATACCAAACTGTCTGAAAGTGTAACTTCATCGAAACTTCCGGGAAAAATGAAAACAGAAGGAGAGCGGGGGGAGGAGGGAAACGTACATTCAAGAAGCGATTTTTAAATGTATAAATCTGTTTAAAATACTGTATGCTAATATTAATATCCAACGAGAGATAATTATATTATTTATTTTTTAATTCGAAGAAAATCGCTTCGATAAAGCTATTTTTCTTTTTTTTTTTTTAATTTGAATCGTTGAATTATATTATATAATTATATCATGTATATGTAAATTCATTCTTTCAGTTATCTCTGTGGAGGGGCCAAATTTCAATATATCGAAGGTCGATCGATCGCACATGGGTTTCTATCTTTGCATCGCGACCAACGGAGTGCCACCATCGGTCAGCAAAAGAATCATGCTCACCGTCCAATGTAAGTGGCAAAATGTAACGAGGAAAATTTAATCGTCGCTTTGCAACGAGATTTTTAACTAATTACTTTTAAAATATTTTTATCTTCAATTCTTATTATTATTCGGTAATAATAAAATGCAAAAGTTAAAGGCAAGTAAGAGGCAAGGAAAGGAAAATGTTTATTCACTCGGCACGGAAAATTTGTTTTTCTTCTTTTCAGTTCCGCCCATGATTTGGGTGCAGAATCAATTGGTGGGCGCCCAAGAGGGACAACAGTTGACTCTCGAGTGCCTCTCAGAGGCTTATCCCAAATCCATCAATTATTGGACAAGGGATAAGGACGAAATAGTTCCGCAAGGTAGGTTAAAACAATGATTCCATTGTTTTCTTTCCTTGCGTACATAGTAATTACTCATACCAGTGCTTCTCAACCTTCTTCGAGACCATGATTCTTTTTATAAAATATCCAAATATAACAACTCTTTATAAAGTATGCGTATGTAAAAAAATATATTTAATAGATCGAAGAGACGAATTCTATCCTCTTTAATTAAAATTTCTTATTTTTAGCATTTTTTTTTTTTATTTTTCAAAATAACCCAGAATCATTTTCCATTATATTAATTATATCAAAAAATATTTGTAATAGAAGAGAATTTTATCTTTGGTTAAAATTTTTCTTATTTAGTACCTTTCTATTTCTCGAATTACTTTAAATTCTATCTCAAGTCAGTAGCCACAAGTTGAGTAAATCCACGGGGAGATGAATTCCATTCTTCTTCTCTTCCCTATCCTTCTTCTCTATCCTACCTATCTTTCCACTTTTCGAGTAACCTAAATAATCTACGATCTCTTTCCATAATTATAGAAAAAAAAGAAAAAGAAAAAAGAAATTCTTAACGGAATCCTTTCGTTTCTTTTCCAAGTAAAATTCCACCCTCATTTCGAGCGAACGAGTAGAGCGAATCCACGCGATCTACGCGAAAACTAGCCGGTCGTCACCGTGAGCCCCGGCCTCTGTATCGACCATTGAACCGTTTCTCTTCCTGGATCGATCCTAACCTTTCCAAAGGTATAATTACACGGGCACGATGCGTTCTCTTGTTGCACATGCCCCTATCCCCAAGGAGGAAGAGTAACGAGCTCTTTGAATAACGAAAGCTCCATGCCAAACGCATAAACACGGGTACAAGGCGGTATGTATAAACGTTCAACCCCGCGCTTTATGCTCGCCCCTATAAAAGCCAGCTTTAGTACTCTTTCCATCGATCCACCCTTCCTTTCAGAT